CACTAACATACACACTAACATACACACACTAACAGACACACTAACAGACATCCACACACACACACACACTAACAGACACAAACACTAACATACACACACTAACAGACATCCACACACTAACATACATACACACACACTAGTGTTTTTTGTTTTTGTTTTTTTATTTAACCCCCCCCCCAGCCTCCTTACCTTTGGTAATGCTGGGGGGGGGGTCTTCCTCTCCCTGGGGTCCAGTGGCTGCAGCGCTGGGCGGGCGGGCGGCCGGCGAGGGAGCTCTTCCCCTGAGCGCTCTGCTCTGCTCAGCTCCCTCGCGCGCCGCCAGCAGAGTGAGGCTGGGAGCCGGAATATGACGTCATCTTCCGGCTCCCGGCCTCACTCTGCTGGCGGAGCGCGAGGGAGCTGAGCAGAGCGCTCAGGGGAAGAGCTCCCTCGCCGGCCGCCCGCCCGCCCAGCAGCCACTGCCGCCCAGCGCCCAGAATGTCTGTTAGCCGCGAGGCTAACAAGACATTTGCCTTGGGCATTTGGGGGGCGGCGTTTTTTGCCACCCCCTGAAAAATGCCGCCCAAGGCAAATGCCTTGTTTGCCTCGCGGCTAATACGCCCCTGGACACACCATTGGAAGCATAGTTCTCAAGTTCAAAGTTGAAGCTACAGTGGAAAAAATAAAACCTGGACAGGGCAGAAAAGGGAAGCTATCAATCTCTGCAACCAAATTTCAGAGTCACTGCAAAAGACCAGCATCAAGACTTGGTGGCAACTAGCATAGAGGTTTCAGTGAGCACAGTAAGTTGCACACTAAACACTGAAGGTTTCCATGCCAGAACGCCAAGACATACACCAATACTGACCCAAATGCAGAGGAAAAGTCGGCTCCAATATGCTCAAAGTCATATAAATAAGCCACAGAGGTTTTGGGATTCTGTTCTGTGGAGAAATGAAACAAAACTGGAACGTTTAGGCTCAGTGAATCAGCAGAATATCTGGAGGAAGAAGAATGAAGCTGTGACGGACCGTCTGGCACCCTGATTGGGTGCCTCTGCCAATCGCTGCCTCCTATTCGCTTTGAGTACTATAAGCACCGCACCAGACACCATAAGCACCGTAGCACCTAAGCCACAGCAGCTTGCCTGGGGTCTCGCTGTCCTCCACCCACCCTGGACCTAAGACAAGGATCCAGCTTCCAGTGGGTGGACCTCTCCTCCTCCAGAGAGTATAGCAGGTCTGTGTAACATATACTTCCTCACCCTGCGGTCTCTGCACCCAATGGCCGTGCGTCTGCATGACTGACACTAGCGGCATGTTAATGGCCGCTGGCCGCTGCGGATCCACTGCAAATTATACCCCCACGTCCGCACACGTTTTGAGGTCAAAGAGCGATCTTGACCAATCAGAAAGATAAAGCAGGTATTTAAACCTAAAATTACCTTTCCTCATTGCCCTGTCGTGGTTTCCCTAGTGGGTGTCCGTGAGTGTGTTCCTGATTCAAGTTTCTTCTGGTTTTTGACTTTGGCTTTGATACAGTAAACACTGCTCTCACTGCCACCACTCGAATTGAATAGAGTGCCCTCCATCCCCTCAATTTAATACACTGTCCCCTCCCTCCCCAATTTAACACACTACACAGGAAGGTTCCCCTAGCCCCCGTTCTCCTACTTTAAAATGAGCTGCCCGTCGTCCTCCAGTTCCAGCCCTGCTCTTCTCTGCTCAAGCAGGCCAGATGTCCCTTTGGCACTGCAAGCAGGAGGGAAGGGGGAGAGGCTGACCTGCTCTGCAGACAGACAGACACTCTGCGCTCCTGCGGCTGCGGGAGCACACGAACGACGGTGGGAGGGAAGACAAGAATCAGTTGCAGCCACAACACAAAGCAGCCACAGGGCAGGTGGGCAGCACAGATAACCATTGTGGGCCGCAAGCTTGTCTTGCTTGTTGTAGACTATATGTGTTGGTGTTTATACTTGTGCCATCCCAGGCACTTCACTTAGACTTATATTAATTGGGGATTTGAAAATAAGTATATAAATATATTATATGTTAAACTTTCATACTCGACTGTTTAGGCAATATCCCCCTTGTATTTCCTTTCCGGTCTCTATGACTCATGCTCTGACAGAATAAAGTGATTGTAGCAGCAGTGTCTCCACTACTGATCTATCAGCTACATCAAGCATGTCAAACTCAAAGGCTAAGAAGGGCTAAATAAACAAGGTTTACGTTTATGTGGGCCGCAAAAAACCCACAAACGTCAGTTTTCATAGAAACGTAGGTTTATTTAGAGAAGTACAGTATAAAAAAAAGGTTCCTAACTGACATTGGACGTCCTCACGCTGGTAGGGCTTCAAAGTAAACAAAAGAGTGAATTTGTTTTAAGGAGACGTGCATTTGCAAATAACCAATGTTTCAGTTCAACTACCTTGCAGGACCAGAGTAAGAGCCCATTGGGCCTGGAGCTGACAATTACGATGGGGCCTAATTACAGAATCTTATCGACCAAAAACACTGAAACAGTCATACCTCTCAAGCGTCGTGTATCTGATGGAGATGGTGTTGGAGGGAAAGGATGCAGCTATATGAAAACACATACTCTGTGCTAATCTCTCTCTAATTTATGATTTCAACTTTCAAGTAAATCCGTAACCCCTAACAGCAGTGTCCAGTGAAGCAGGAAGTCAGTGGGCAGGGTAAAAGGGTGGGCCACTGATGCGAATCACATGACCAGACCTGCCAAACGGGGTGAACATGCCCAAAAAGGGGGCATGTTTGTCCAAAGAATTGGAAGGCCAGCCTGCCATGAATGCATGTCAGGCTGCCTGCCAATCATACAGGCTGTCCATCTATGCAGGCAGCACCTTGAACTTGACATAAATGCATCAAATGATGCTCCTACTCCACGCTTTCTAAGGACTGTCCCCTAGCACTCACATGTCCACTTGTCTCCTTATCATCTTACTAGCAGGCAGAAGTTCCTGGAATATAGACTGGGACAGAGTAAATGTGTATGTAGTGAGTGTAGTGTGTGTAGTGAGTGTAGAAGAAAGGCTAGAAGGTGTTTTTTACATAATAGGGTCAGAAATACATGATTGTGTTCCTGACCCTATAGTGTTCCTTTAAGCAAGAGTATGTGAAGAGTAGTTAGGGTTGCCAACTTTCTTGGAAAAAAATACCAGCCTTTGTATAATTAATTAGTTATGAGTGACATCACATGATGTAAATCACAAGGAGTGACATAAGAGAAAATCCGTAAAATCACCAACAAACTACTCATAGTATGAATTGCTCCCAGTGTCTCCCTGTCTCCCAGAGTCTCAGTCTCGCAAGTCTCCCCATTTCTCCCAGTGTCCCCATGTCTCAGTGTGTCCCCATGTATCACAGTGTCAGTGTCCCCATGTTGCCCAGTCCCCTAGTCTCCCAGTGTCCCCATGTCTCAGTGTATACCCATGTCACTAGGATACTAGGGAACACAGTGAGACATGGGGATACGGAGACCCAGGAACACTGGGAGACATGGGGGCACTGAGACACTTGGGGACATGGGGGCACTGAGACACCTGGGAGACATGGGGGCACTTGTGAATACAGACATGGGGACACTGGGAGACATGGAGACACTGGGAGACATAGGGACACTGAGACATTTGGGGACACTGGGAGAAATGGGGACACATAGAAACATAGAATGTGACGGCAGATAAGAACCATTCGGCCCATCTAGTCTGCCCAATTTTCTAAATACTTTCATTACTCCCTAGTCTTATCTTATAGTTAGGATAGCCTTATGCCTATCCCACACATGCTTAAACTCCTTTACTGTGTTAACCTCTACCACTTCAGCTGGAAGGCTATTCCATGCATCCACTACCCTCTCAGTAAAGTAATACTGTTGTAGTTGATTTACTGCAAACCAATTAGTTTGAATGACTATCTGTTCCTGTCCAAATTAAAGATAATAAAGTTGCGTGCACGCAGAAGTAAATTCACACTGAGACACAGAGTTCAGGTTAATGAAAGAACTTCGGAGAAGTTTAATGGCTTCTGAACAGAAAATGGGTGCGCAGACCCTTTTAAAGGCATTATTACATCATTGAAGAAAATCAAGATATAGACAAATAGACATTGTTAATTGGCTTAGGTGCTAAGATGTTAGTAAAATGCCCTCCCTATGGGGTGTACCATCTTAAGTCACTATCCTCGTCATGATCATCTCCTCCAGGTTTTAGCGCCATTTTGCTAACATGAGGAGCTCACTCGACGGGAGGGGCCTTTTGGCAGCTATCCATTTAGAGTGTAGCTGGCACTGTTAGTTTCTCAAGGTTAGGTTTCAAGGCTTTTAGTAAATACACATTTTATCAAAGCTATTTCTTGCTGACATGCAAATTCTATGTTCTATAGACAAAGCTTTCTTGTAAAACTATGGGGGCCTCTTAGAGGTATAGCAAGAGGATTTAAAGGGGCCTTACAGATTTATAGAGGCCTAATAATTCTACAACAATATTTCCTGATATTATTTTTAAACCTTTGTCCCTCTAATTTAAGACTATGTTCTCTTGTTGTGGTAGTTTTTCTTCTTTTAAATATAGTCTCCTCCTTTACTGTGTTGATTCCCTTTATATATTTAAATGTTTCTATCATATCCTCCCTGTCTCGTCTTTCCTCCAAGCTATAGAAACATAGAAACATAGAAACATAGAATAGACACTGAGACACTAGGGATACAGAGACATTGGGACACAGACAATGGGAGACATGGGGACACTGAAACATTTGGGGACACTAAGACACTAGGGACACTAAGAGACATGGGAACACAGACACTGGGAGACTAGGGGACACTGAGACACTAGGAACACTGGCTGGAAGACAGGCACTTGGGGACACTTGTGGACATAGACATGGGGACACTGGGAGACATGGGGACACAGACATTTGGGGACACTGGGAGACATGGGGACACAGACACTGGGAGACATGAGGACACTGAGGACACTGGCTGGGAGACATGTGGACACTGAGCCACTAGGGACACTGGCTGGGGGACATGGGAACACTGGGAGACATAGGACAGTGTCTCCGTGTCCCAATGTCTCAGTGTCTCCCAATGTCCCTATGTCTCACAGCGTCCCCATGTGTCTCAGCGTCCCCAGGTGTCACAGTGTCTCCTAGTGTCTCAGTGTCCCTATATTTTCCAGTGTCCCCAAGTATCTCAGTGTCCCGAGGTCTCCCAGTGTCTGTGTCCCCATGTGTCCCCTAGTGTCTCAGTGTCCCCATGTCTCTCTGCTGCCTTTCCCTCCATCCCTCACTTACCTGAGCTGTAGAGCTGCTCCCCCACGGATCAGTGAGTAGTAGAGAGAGGCAGGGATATCCTGTAACTTCCTATCCCTGCTTCTCTCCACACACAGTGACCCCTACTGGGCGGTGTTGGTATTGCAGAGTAATCTCCATTTATACTGAGAAAAATACCTGCATTTGTATTGCCGGTATAACTGCAATACCGGCACGGCCAGGCAGCCACAAATACCGGCTGTGCCAGTAAAATACCAGTCAGGTGGCAAACCTAAGAGTAGTGTGTAAAAGAAAAATAAATAAAAAAAATAAAATATATATATATATATTTTTTTTAAATGGGACTATTCCATTGGCCTGGGCCTGGAGCTGCAGCTCCATCAGCTCCTATGTTAATCCGGCCCTGCTACCTTGACATATTAAGAAAAGTTTGGTAATGGGACTGAAATGGTGAAAGTGTGTTCTTCACTTTGGCTGAGATCATCAAACTTGATCATATAAACCAATCCAATGCTTTGAAGCATTGAAAGGCTATTGTGCATGTGTGGAAAAAAGCTGCGCGGCCAAATAGCATCTCCATGGGTAGCGTTCAGTGCCTCCATGCAGACCCAATCTAACACGCTGGCCCCTCCCCCAATTCAAATACACTGCCAAAAAAACAGTACATTGCCCCCTCTCCCTCCATTGTTATACACTGCCCCTTCACACAATCTAATACATTGCCCCTTAATCTAATACACTGCCCCTCCTCCCTCCACTCTAATTGAATAGACTGCCCCCACTCCACTTTAATACACTGGCCCCCTCCCTCCCTCCCTCAAATAAATAAATACACTGGCCCACTCCCAACCTCAAATAAATACACTACCCCCTCTTTCCTTCAAACACACTGTCCCCCTCCCCGATTTGAATACACTGGCCTCTTTACTTCCCCAAATTAATAAACTGCCCTCCTTCCTCTCGTTAATACACAGCCCTCCTCCCTCCCATTAATACACTGCCCCCTCTCTCCCATTAATACGTCGTCCTCCTCCCCTCCATTAATACACTGTCCCCCTCCCTCCCATTAATACACTGTCCTCCTCCCTCCCATTAATACACTGTCCTCCTCCCTCCCATTAATACACTGCCCCCTCCCTCCCATTAATACACTGCCCTCTTCCCTCCCATTAATACCCTGTCCCCCTCCCTCACATTAATACACTGCCATCCTCCTCCCATAATACACTGTCCCTCCCTCCCATTAATACACTGTCCCTCCCTCCTCCCAATACACTGCCCCTCCCTCCCATTAATACACTGCCCCTCCCTCCCAATAATACACTGCCATCCTCCATCCCACAATTCCCTCCTCCCATGAACCGCATCCTCCCTCCCATTATTATCTGCCCCCCTCCCATTAATACACTGCCCTCCTCCTATTAATACACTGTCCCTCCCATTAATACACTGCCATCCTCCATCCCATTAATACACTGTCCCCCTCCCTCCCATGAATACACTGCCATCCTCCCTCCCATTATTATACTGCAACCTCCCTCCCATTAATACACTGTCCCCTTCCCTCCCATTAATACACTGTCCCCTTCCCTCCCATTAATACACTGTCCCCTTCCCTCCCATTAATACACTGCCCTCCTCCTTCCCATGAATACACTGCCATCCTCCCTCCCATTATTATACTGCCCCCTCCCTCCCATTAATACACTGCCCCCCTCCCTCCCATTATTATACTGCCCCCTCCCTCCCATTAATACACTGGCCCCTCCCTAATAGGAGGGAGGGGGCAGTGTATTAATGGGAGGGAGGAGGACAGTGTATTAATCCCCAATAGTTGACTTATTATCAGACAGGACCACCAAATGTGGACATAATCTGCCCTGAGGAAACCGCATCTCCAGCACTTATGCTGCGTATCTGGGTACATTTTTGCTAATTTAATAGGAACATAATGCCATCTATTAATAAACTTATAGTGGCTCTCAGTTAAATTTAAACAATGTATAGCCTTCATTCCAGCATTATTTGCACTTGTCCACTCTTTTCTCGTGATGCTGATTTGTAGGTCTTTTTCACACGATTTTAATGCTGGAAACATCAGGGTTATTTTGTATAAATTATAGAATTTAGCAAAGTTTGAAACTAAATTTTTATTATCTTTGATATTTATTATGTTCATAAAAAGTTGTAATCCCTCTGATATGTCCAGAGCCTGACCGGTGTATAGTCGCCATATGGGCAGTCGGACTCCAGGACAACCCTCCCACATACCCAACCCAATAACTCACTGACACAAAGGTATATGGGAAAATTTGTCCACAGCTTTATTTAACCAAACTTGAATAATAATAATTTATTAAGCAATAATAATTTTAACAATAAACATGGGTCATTGCCCCCATACTCCGCCCTCGTAACCGAATCCTTCTGTTAATATAACAGGCAATGACCCCCATATAAATAACATATATACATATACATATAACCTATAACATACGTATCAACATATTCCAACATACCAACTTAAAGTGCCAAACATAAATTAACCATGGCAGGGGTATACCCGGATACCCCTGCCCCACCAGATTCTGAGCCACCGACAGGACTCGGAACCTACCAACCACCAATGACCACAGTTTTACGTCTCCATGACGTTCATCCTAGGGAGCCTATTTCTTCTCCTTCAGCTCCCTATCCTGCCGCTGTGAAAAAACGGGATAACCCAAGTCCGAACCAAATTCAGGGAGGGTGGGCGGGACAAACTCAGCAAGGTAGTAATTAAAAGTGAAGGCTTTAAAATGGCTGCCTATTTAAATAGCCAAGCCTACTTACCCATAACTCCATACTTCCTTCCCTCCTCCTATGCCCGCCTCCTAACCCCTGTCAAGGCCTTTTTTCGCTTAGCTGCGCTTTGGCTACATGGGGCTACATGACCGGTGTATAGTCGCCATATGGGCAGTCGGACTCCAGGACAACCCTCCCACATACCCAACCCAATAACTCACTGACACAAAGGTATATGGGAAAATTTGTCCACAGCTTTATTTAACCAATCTTGAATAATAATAATTTATTAAGCAATAATAATTTTAACAATAAACATGGGTCATTGCCCCCATACTCCGCCCTCGTAACCGAATCCTTCTGTTAATATAACAGGCAATGACCCCCATATAAATAACATATATGCATATACATATAACATATAACATACGTATCAACATATTCCAACATACCAACTTAAAGTGCCAAACATAAATTAACCATGGCAGGGGTATACCCGGATACCCCTGCCCCACCAGATTCTGAGCCACCGACAGGACTCGGAACCTACCAACCACCAATGACCACAGTTTTACGTCTCCATGACGTTCATCCTAGGGAGCCTATTTCTTCTCCTTCAGCTCCCTATCCCGCCACAAGCTCAGACCTTGACTCCTTAAGCTGTCTGAGCTCCGCCACCCCGAAGAAAAAGAGCCTTAGTTATGCCCTCCTGCCAGCCCAGGGTCAACAGATCCCAACCAACTGCCGAGAGATGAACTCCATCCGAGCGGTAGTACCCCGGCAAACCACCTTCCAACTCGCTGTGTCGAACTACCACACCCCCTAGCTTCCGCACGAAGCTTGCCATCAAGCTATTCACTTTCTTCCTACATCTGTCAATAGCCTCCGGGTCCCTAGCATGCCGCCACCGCTTCCTAGGGATAATCTCCGACCAGACCAACATCACCCCCGGAAGTAGGTCCCTTAAACCGTTAAGGTCCTGCTTCATCCACTTCACTAGCCGCCGCTGCGGAGTGAGGCCCAAGTCGTTGCCCCCCGCATGGAGCACCAGCAGGTCCGGCCGTTGCCCGCCTGCTACCATCCGGAACACCCTTTCGCAGACCTCCCCCCAACAAAAACCCCTGTACCCGAACCACTGTACTGCCAACTGGTCCCGATGAAAGCCCAGCTGGTGGCCCTGAGCTCGAGCTGCAGCCCTCCTTTCGGCCCAGAAGACAAATGAATGGCCCACGATCCATGCGACACGGCCTGGGGGAGAGAAGGAAAACAGATCATAACAGCCCCTTATGCACCCAGCCCCCGGGGATCCCCCCAAAGGCCCTTCCCCATCTTACTCCAATAAACCCAAACGCACATATGAACGGAACCGTACCGACTCCCATCTCCCAATCCGTTTCACTATGTCATCCCCCAGACCCAACCGAGCTGCCTCCGTAGCCGCCCCAATACGAAAGGAGTGTGTACCAAAAGTATCCACCCTCAGTCCTAGCTTTCCCAGTCCAGACCGAAAAACCTTGGTGAACTGGAACCGGGAGAGGGAAGACCCGTCCGCGTGTACCAGCAGCGATCCTCCAACCCCCGGCCTCCGTGCCATGTACCCCGCCACCGCGGCCACTGGGCACAAAGCGGAGCCCGGCAGGGCCCGCAGCGTCACATCTCGGCCCTTGCCTAACATGTCCGTCTTGGATCTTGCCAGGTGTACAACCACCTTCCCTTCCAGCACTCGGACCCCCGACACCTGTACCCCTCCTGCCGCAGTCCTCGTGGCACTGACCAACTCCCCTACCCGAAAGGCTCCAAAGAAGGCCAACAGAAACGCCGCCTGAAACAACGATGCTTCGAACCTGTCGAAACATATAGTAGGCAATAAACCGACCAGGTCACTCAACACTCGCACCGATACTGGGCGCCGAGTGTCAGGCCGTCTGCGGCCCCGCCGGTACCCCTTCAGTGCCTGCCTTATGACAAAGGCTTAGTAAGGTCCTCTTCCCCATGTAGCTTGAACCAGAAAGCCATCGCCGCCATGGACCTGTCAACCACCGCCGGGGATGCCCCCTTCGCCAGAAATTGACAGGTGTACCAGAGGAACGCATCCTTGAGCGATTCCCCCGCCGGCAGGCGGTCCAACCCTTCCCATGACCTTTCCCAGGAGTCCCAGACCTTACTGTAAGCGGCCCATGTGGCCGGCGCCAGCGAAGCCTTCACCAGTCCCCCAAGCAGGTCGCCCCGAGCCGCCAAATCTCGTCTGGGCAAGCCTGCCCCACTTCTTGGGCTTCCGGCGCCACCGTCCGGAATCGTGACCACTGAAAACGAGACAGGGCGTCAGCTACATCATTCATGAACCCAGGCACATGGCGTGCACGAAAAACAACATTTAGCGACATGCACAACAGAACAAAATGACGTAGCAACCTAACCACGGGTTTCGATGCCGCTGATTGGTTATTCACAGCGTGCACCACGGCCATATTGTCCGAGAAAAAGACCACCTTCCGGTCCCGCAGCCTATCCCCCCACAGGGCCAACGCAACGACCAGCGGGAACAGCTCCAAGAAAGCCAAGTTCCGCATGAGGGGGCTCAGTCGCCACTCCCTCGGCCATCGCTCCGCACACCAACGTCCCCCAAAATAAGCCCCGAAGCCCACGCTACCAGACGCGTCTGTGAACAGCTCCAGTTCCGCAGCCGACACGCCCTCCTGTCTAAAAATCACCGTCCCATTGAACTCCCGCAAAAAGGTCTCCCATACAGCCAAGTCGGCCCTCATGGCCGACGACACCCGAATGAAGTGACGCGGGGATCGCACCCCTGCCGTCGCTGCCGACAGGCTCCGGCTGAACACCCTACCCATTGGGATCACCCGGCATGCAAAATTCAGCATCCCGATCAACGACTGCAGCTGCCGCAATGTAACCTTACGGGCTTGAGCCGCCGTCGTCACCTCCTCCTTCAGCCGCCGCAACTTCTCCAGCGGCAGCCGACACTCCCCTTGCAACGTATCTATCTCCAACCCCAGAAAACTAAGGCACTGAGCCGGCCCTTCTGTCTTGTCCGCCGCCAGCGGGACCCCGAAATGGCCAGCCACCCACTCGACCGTTCTCAGCAAGTGTAGGCAGGCGGGGGAGCCCGCCGGTCCTACGCAGAGAAAATCGTCCAGGTAGTGTACCACAGCCCCACTCCCCGCCTCAACTTTGACCACCCATTCAAGAAAAGTACTAAACTTCTCAAAGTAGGCGCAGGAGATAGCACAACCCATTGGAAGGCACAAATCCACAAAGTACCCCCCGTCGAAGAAACACCCCAGCAAGTGATGACACGCTGGGTGGACCGGAAGCAGCCGAAACGCTGCTTCAATATCCACCTTAGCCAACAGTGCTCCGCGCCCGGCCTTCCTTACCAGCTCGACCGCCCTGTCGAATGATGCGTATGAGACCGAGCACAAGTCCTTGTCAATATCATCATTCACCGACTCTCCTTCCGGGTAGGAGAGGTGGTGAATGAGCCTGAATTTGCCCGGTTCCTTCTTGGGAACCACCCCGAGTGGGGAAACCCGCAGACCCTCCAATGGAGGAGCTTGGAACGGTCCTGCCATCCTCCCCAATTTGACTTCCTTGCCCAGTTTTTCCCGCACCACACCCGGGAACTCAGCCACCGATTTAAGGTTGCGCCGAACCCCAGTCCCCCCCCCGGTTCCGGAAAGGGATAAAGAACCCCTGACCAAACCCCGCCCGGAGCGCCACGGCATCTGCCTTATTACCGTAGCGGCTTAGCCACGGCTCCATCGCGTCTAGCCTCACCGGGGTTAGGCCCCGGGGCAAGCGAAACTCCCCCTCCCCCTCCAGCCGAGGTGGGGACCCCGGTGTGCCCCGACTTCCCTTTTTTGAAGCACCGGTTGAGCCCATGCGCGCCTCCGCAGCCCGAACACTCGTGCTTAAAGCGACAGGCGTTTCCCCATTTGCACTGGCCCTCGTTAAAGAGGCGGACTGCCCCTTTGCGCCGGCCGTGGGCTGAAATGGCTGCGCTTTTTGCGCCATCATCAGCTTCATCCAGAGAGGCAGGTCCATTTGATCCCACCGCATACCCGGATTAGCCGCCAAACGCTGCCGGAATTGCTCGTCGTACCGCCACCATGCCAGTCCGCCATAGGTGTGATACGCCTCCCAAATGCCATCCAAATAACAAAACAGAGAGGAGCACAGGCCCGGCGATTTCTCGCCCAGAACACTGGCCAACACGCAAAAGGCCCTCAGCCAGTTACCGAAAGACTTGGGAATCTTACGATACCGCTTCTTCTTCTCTTCCTCCTCCTTCTTCTCATCTTTTTTATCGTCCTCTTTGAGATCAATAAAATCCTCCAAAGGGAGAAGAGAAAAGATCTCGCAGAAGTCACCCTTCCAGATTTTTCCTTCACCTCCTGTTTGAGGTGGACCCCCAGCGGACCCGCAAACGACACATATGCGTGTTGCCTGGCCGCATCAGGAACCACCCCCCCCGTCAACTCAGCCCGCTCGCTCGTCGCCTCCGCCCCAGTAACCGTCACTGCAGTGTCCCCACCCGAACTCTGTTCCGCGGAGGGAACCTCGCTCGGGCCCGCCACCCCGGCCCCCTGAGCCCAAACCTGCCCCACACCGCCCTTTGTGGCACCCCCCGCTCCCAGTGAGTGGAGAAGTGCTTGAAGTGTATGAACCAATGCACTGGAGTGCAGAGAAGCAGAGGACTCACCGGCCAAGCCCCTCGACCCCGAAGCTCCTGGGGCTGCGTTGTGTACTGTCCCCTGACCAGGATGAGCGACATCCGTTAACGATCCTCCAACCGGGGAGCCAACCCGGTGCCCGGCCACATCAGATGCGGAGCGGCTCCGAGATCTGTAACGAGGAGAAGAAGTCCTGGGCAGAGCATACTGGTCATGAGCAGCCCCCCCGTCCCGACCTTGAGAGCGCCCGCTGGACACCAGAGCCTCCCGTCGCGCAACCACTCCTTTTCGCCCACCCAAGGCCCGATCGGCCCTGCCTCTGGGACTACGACTCCTCCCGTTTCTACCAGAGGCCCGCCCCCGTGTAACCAGCCCTGGGGCCATGACACTCTCCCCCCCTGAGCTACTAGATGAGGACCTAACACGCCGAGCCCTTCCCTTAAACCCCCCGGGTGACGGGCTGCTATCACCTGACCCCAAACCTGAACCCCCCCCAGAACTACGCCCACCTATCTGCTCACCAGCGCAGGGAAATCCCCACCCCCCACCCCGGCGGGCCCCCCGACTAGAAGCACCCCCTCCCCTCGGTACCTCCAGCCGGTCCCCAGACCCCGCACCCCTAACCTGTCCTGAACGCCCTGCGCACCTCGACCTCCTGCCCCCCCCTGATGGCAAACTTCCCCCTGCCGTACCCCCTGGCCCTTCCACCCTCCCGGCTACTGGCCCTCGCTCCAAGCCCACTACCCTGAAACTACCCTGCGCACCCTCCCCCCTAGACCTCCCTGCCCCCGCTCTAGCAGGCACCTGACCCCTCCCCACGTCCCCCCCAGGACTCTGAACCCTGTGCCCAGTCCTCCTGCGTTGATTCACGCCAAGGGGGTCCCGGCCGGAACCCCCTGCACTTGCCTGTTCCAGGGGCGGTCCGCGAGCTCCTTCCGCACCGGCCCCGCCAGTCCCCGCCATGGGTGTAGTAGATGCCCTCCCGGGCTGCAATCCCGCGTCCTCACCGGTTCCAGGGGGCCGCCCGACGTCTCCCGCGGCCCCCGCTCCAGGCGCAGCCCTCCCCGCACTGGGAGCTGCACCGTCCGACTCCCGGGTAGCCTCCCACCGGCTACCGCTTCTCCGACGTCCCGGTAACGCGCCGGGAGGCGGAGCCTCAACCATGCGGCTACCGGGTCCGTTTCGGCCTGGTCCCGCCGCCGCCCGGCCGCTGGAACCGTCTCCACCGGACTCCGCGCCTGGGCTCAGCCCTCTCGGCGGCCTCCGAGCCCGCACAGGCCGACCTCCGCCGCCCTCATGATCCGCAGCACCCGCCAGGGCTGGTCCAAGTTGCACCCGCAGCCAGTCCACGCCACGTCCTTGAGCCGCCAACCGGATCCGCTCCAACAGCTCCTCCATGTTATCCTTCGACCCTGCAGAAGGAGAGAAAACAAAGACCCCACCAAACCAAATCTGTGGACACAGGAGTGCACACAAACTCAGCAAGGTAGTAATTAAAAGTGAAGGCTTTAAAATGGCTGCCTATTTAAATAGCCAAGCCTACTTACCCATAACTCCCTACTTCCTTCCCTCCTCCTATGCCCGCCTCCTAACCCCTGTCAAGGCCTTTTTTCGCTTAGCTGCGCTTTGGCTACATGGGGCTACATTATGTTTGTTTAGGAAGTGCATTATCTGCAGATATGTAAAGTTCTCTCTATAAGGGAGAGGGAATATATGTCTAATTTCCTCAAAGGGTATAATCTGGTTATGTTGCATTATCTGATCTATTCTGTTGATACCATTTGCCATCCAAGTATTAAGGTTCAGATCTTCCATATTAGCTGTCAGAATACTCACTGGCAGGTCATTGATAATTTTATCTGATATCTTAAATCTCTTTTTCTAGTTTTTCCACTGTGAGAATAAATTATTTATGACTAAACCCTTATTTTCTTTATCTCTCTTATGTATTTTCCAAAATAGGGCTGATAAATCCAGTACTTCCAGTCTTGTAGCCTCTATTTTTGCCCAAGTTTCCTCCATAGATGGTATGCCCATCCCTCATTTTTTTGGTTTCAAATTTAATATTTTTTTATTATTCCTAGGTTTTTTTTCAACCAAATACATTTTTCTAAAGCTGACTGGATTATTGAGAGCCATGGTTTTTGCATCCTTAAAGGTAACATTTGGAATATATGGCTCTATCTAGGCATTAAATATGATTTTACGACATTTATCCTACCCATCCATGATACCTCTACAGTACTTAAGTCTTTGAATTGTTTACTTATTTGTTTCATTAAAGGCAATATATTAGTATCCATAATCTTATTTGGATTGTTTGAAATGTTTATACCCAAATATTTTACGTATTTTTTGCCCATTCAAATTAATATTTTGCCCTAATCCTCACTTTCTCTTCCTTACCTAGATTTTTAGCTAGAATGATTGTTTTACCTACATTCAACTTAAAGTTTGAGTATTGCCCAAATTCGGATATAACCTTTAGTAATTCTTCCATTGATATTTCAGGGTCTGAGATGGTAACTAGGACATCGTCCGCATATAGTAGTGTCTTATATTCTTCTTGACCTATTCTGATTCCTTTAATCTTTACATTCTCTCTAATTTCACAGGCCAGGGGTTCAATTTATAACAAGAATAGTAACGGGGAGAGGGGACATTCCTGTCTCGTACCGTTACCTATTTAGTATATAAGGTAACAGGGAGAGGGGACATCCCTGTCTCGTACCATTACCTATTTTAAACTAATCTGATATTATACCCCTTCCTATGGTTCTAGCCATTAGGCAAGCATATAAAGCCATAGTAGCATCTATTATTCAACCCTCAAGGCCGAAAGCTTTCATAGATGCTTTCAGGAAGACCCACCTGACCCTGTCAAAGGCCTTCTATGCATTCAATGACAGGGTTTGGAATGGGTCCCCTAAATCGTGAATGCTATCTATAATATTAACTATCGTTCTCACATTATTATTGACCTCTGTGAGTCAAATACGGTAAGACACTTTGCATCCTATTTGCTAAAATACTTGCATTAATTTTTATATCGGAATTTAACAATGAAATAGGATGGTAGTTCTTTACATACTCTGTTGATTTATCTGGCTTATGTATGGGGATAATATTTGCATATAACATTTCACTAGGAATAGACTTTTCCTCAACTATGTTTTTAAAAAGATCTTTGAGATGTACTATCAAGTCATCCTTAACTTGTTGATAGAATAAATTGGGGTAGCTGTCCGGGCCAGGAGTTTTATTTTTTTAACATATCTTTTGCCTTCCTAATCTCTATTTCCGAGGTAGACTTATTAATAGAATTCAATTTTTCTATCGAGAGTTTTTTCATCTTTTTGTTTTTAAAATATATTTCTGGATTATTTGGTTGATTAGGCAAATTATATAAGTTTTGGTAAAAAGAATTGAAATGCTTGTCAGGATTTCTGTAGATGCCCAACACGCAGAACTTAAGTACATATAAAGCAAATACCTAAAACATATTACCGGACCTTAGAATGGCCAGATTTAACGTAAAAAGGCAAAAGACACAAGATAGGGAAAAGCCAAGACAAAGGTATAACGCAAATGATAAACAAGCCAAAGGTCAAGGAATGGAGATATCAGAATAGTCAGGAGCCAAGCCAAAAGTCAAGGAATATAGAGATTGGATAGTTAATAAGGGAAGCCAAGGTCAGATATACAAGAAATCCATACAAGGAACGCGCTCTCGGATAACCATCTGGAAACCACGACAGGGCACAGAGAAATGGACAAACTAGGTTTAAATAGCTAATGGCTTTTCCTGATAGGGTGTAGGGAAACATGTGATCAATCTTATGTGTGTAACACATCCATATTAAATTAATTGATCTGGCCCTTTAAGGGTTAAACATGAAACCCTTTATTATTCACAGCAGCAGCGGGCGGCGCCCTTAATGATACAGAGCTGGCTGCTGAGAGAGGAGAGGTCACCTTGTGAGTGTTTGGCAGTATTCCCCTTAGTTTGTGGGAATATCACTGTAGCGATACGCACCCGCCGGGACCCATGCGGCCCTCTGACAGGAGCAGCGCAGGTGGGAAGAGTGACAATGCTTTACCGATTTTTCTGGAGTCAATTGTGGCCCTTCTTCAGTAATAATTTTCAGTATCACCAAATTATTTTTTTTACCCTTAATTTTATTTGTAAGCATTTTATTTTACCTCTATAACACCTCTATAACCTCTATACCTCTATAACACCGTTTTATTAAGTATTCAAATTTTTTAGAAGTTTCTTGCAAAAGTATTTAGTTAATTTTATCCTTTATTTTTGCTATTTTCTCGATTATCTGTATGGGTGTATTATTTTTATTAGATTTTGTTGATTCATAAATTAATTAATTAAAATTAAAAACACATAGCCTCATGTAATCGTTACATGAAACACTCCGTCTCCTCACCCTTTTGGTGGGGACCAAACTCCACATCCTATGACCCTGGATGTGGAAACCAAACTAATGTGGCGTCAATTGGGGACTAAAGCCCGCCTCAAAATCCGCAAGCTGCAACATTAGCAATAAGATAGAAATAATCTAGTAAAGGGAGGGGAACAAGAGAAGAAAAAAATATATATATATTAGGAAGCATAATGACATAAATTTACCGATACTCTATCTCAAAGCGAATAAATGTTTCTTAAATATTAAACAATATCGGAATATAACATTAATTTCTACCTACCATTATTTTATAATGAGTATCTTAAATTTCCTTTTTAATCCATATTTGTTATGTTAATATTATTTTAAAGTGAATTACACCCTCCCAATATATATCCCTTTCTCTTACATTTCATTCTTCATTCAAGTTATATTGTGTCTTAAGCTGTGAAAGATGTTTCTATTCTTGTGAATCACACCCTCTTGTTATATAAACCTTCCTTTTTACAGTTCCTTCTTATTTCTTATAATCTGTGAAAAAAATATTTCTATTCTTGTGCTATTTGTATTATATCCTTATATTTCTCATTCCCTTGTAGCTATTTCTTATGTTATATATTTACAAAAAATAAATAAATAATAAATAAAATAAAAAAACATTTACATTCCTTCTTCCTTACATTATATCCCTCTCACTCATCTCTTTCCATTCCTCTCCATTAGTCAGATTTTATATCTCTCTTTTCTTGATAATTTAGTTTTAAAGCCCTCTCTTGTACCCAAATATTAGCAGAACCAACATTATCAAAAAAATAAGTTTTTTGCTTCAAATACTACTATGAGTCTCGATGGGAAACCCCAGTAATATTATATGTTTTTTTTTCTTAATATCTCGGTCACTGGTGCGAATAGATGCAAAGACCTTAATATTTGTAATATCTTCTTTCTTACTTCCTTGCCTTGATGCCCTTTTTACTTCTTCTCTAAACAAATAGGAGTTACGACATATCATTACATCCCTTGGAGTTTCTGGAGTCAGGTTGCTTGGTTTTGGGATTTTGTGGTATTTTTCCAGAAATTTGTATTTATCATCCGTATAGATTCCCATCTCTGAGAAATAAGAGTTTAGAAAAACCTGCAATTTATCTTGGCTTATATTTTCTGGTATGTTCCTTATCCTCAAATTTGTTTTGCCTGGATCGACCTTCTAAATTAATCATTTTCAACTCTATTTTCTGTTGCAATTATTCCTGATTTTCTTGTTGATTTTTAATCACAAATTCTGTGTGGTCCAATTTTTCTTCAACCAATTTAGTCTTCTGTCCAATTTCCTTTATATCCATTTTTAAGTCATAATTGTTATTAATGATTTCTTGTTTTATGGCTAAAAGTTGTTGACCAAGGCAGGTTTTAAGATAAACCAGCGTTACCTGTGAAGTTTCATTCTCTTTTGCAATCGCCATTTCAGCTGTTTTTTTCTCCTCATTAGTGGGGCTGGGTTCCTTAAGGATTTATCAGTTTTGGGTATGAACAAATTTGATAATCTCTTTTCTATTTTATGTTCCCTTCTTTCTCCAGTCCAGTGTCCAGTCTTTAGGATGCCATGTCTCTTTAAGAGGGCATGTAGGATAATCATGCACGAAGAAGCAAATAATAAGTAACAGCCTTGGATTGGCTTTTATACGTAACAGCTTTTCCTGTTCATCCCAGCTGTTTAAAAAAGTATAAGTAATCAAGGGCTAATTTTCACTCAAGTTTTACTGTAATTGTTTATATCCTTTGAGTGTCCAAACTCCGCGGGTTTGCCTCTCTATGCCTCGCCAACCCTCTCACACTTCAAGTTTTCTCTCTACCGAGCGAGCGTGATGCCTCTTTTTTCCTTCTCCTTTCCTCCCCCACCTCTCCTCCTCCCTCCTCCTTCTCTCCTTTCCCTTCAGTGCACCAACGTCTCCCTCGTACCCTCGGCAATCTACAATTTCAAATTAATTTGTATCGCATTACTTTGTAACCAATTCTGGGGTAGCGTATCTCTTTAACCCCTTATGGACCAAACTTCTGGAATAAACACATCATGTGTCCTTAAGGGGTTAAGTAGAATGCGAGATGGACGAACGCAAAGAAGCAAGTAGTAAGTAGCAAGCCTTTATAGAGGTTTTTGTAAATAGTAAAACATAATATTCACTCCTATTGTTTTAGAGATGTGAGCACACAAGGGCTAGTACTCGCCCATCTTCGCCCTGTTTAATTACAGCCTCTGAATTTCCATTCTCAGCAGGGATTCCTCTTTATGCCCTGCTGACTCCCTCTCTCTTCGGTTTGTTCCTTCAGCGTCTCTTACGTCCACTCAGTATTCCGCAAGTTATAAATTTGTTATCTTGTGTATATGTAGAAGGAAGGGAGTCATTTCAAATTTTTTTCCTGCTTCTTCTCTCTTGTTTCCTAACTGATTGGAGAGTTTCTCATGGTGTGCTCACTTTGCAGCACTGCTCGTCTTTCGGCGGGCTTCTCCCCATCCACGGACATACGTAGCGTGCGTTCCTACATCATTCCCCCCACCCCCCAATATTTCCTCCCTATATACTTTTTACACCTTCATAAACAGTATTAGACTGTCCGAGCTACCTCTTTAAACTTTACTATTTCCTTTTCCTTGTTTTTGGTAAATTTTGGTTTACTTAGTATTGTTACCCTTTTAAGTATGTATCTGTAACGGCACCCTCGACATCAAACAGTCAAAACCGCCGTTTAGTTAATCCTCCCCGCTCGCAATACTGTAAACTCCATTCGTATAGAATCCAATTGTACGAACTGCAAGCAGGGGAATGCGCCAACCTCCCGAACGGGACCTGTACGGATACTCCAACTCTCGAGCGGTAAACCCACGAATCGCTGCTAACAGCCGAATCAATATATCATCCAAGCGGCTTACGGTTCCAGCAATCAGTCACTATTCGTGTGTAGTAAATCCCCCCAATAACGAGACCAATCTCCGCATTGAGGGTAAAACAAGAACTGGGTTTACTGTGGGCTACCCGCCCATATTTATGCAGGTCTCCCACTTGGTGGACACTCCCCTAGGGGACCAAATGGGAGACTGTAATGGCAGACAGACATTTAGCATGTTAGGACACACAGGCACATAATATTCCCAGCATGCATCATGGTTTCCTCCCCTCTGCCCTGGAGATAATTAAGAAGTAATTCAATTATCTCCCAGGACAGAGGCAAATCGCCATTTTAGATGAAACATAAAAACCACATAAAAATAAATAATTACACAACTACCGAACATATTCCATTCGTGCAATGTGTCCCCAGATAGCCTGGATCTGAGTGCATATTCTTAGCGAAAAGCGCTCAGATCCCATACATACAGTTCAATCGCCATGGAGTCAAAGTCTTTTACAGTCTTTCGGTATGCGATTGACTCCATGGGAAGGCTATCTGGGTTAAGTCCATTCGTGTAGTCCAAACTCCCGAACGGCCGGTGTTTGCATGCTTTTGTCGATTGAGAAGGGCGGTCTGTGGTTTTAGCGGTGTTCAGCAGAAAAAGTGTCCATTTTTAGTTCCATAGAATCTGTGCCGAACACCACTGGTCCTTTGCATGGTTTAAAATGGCCGCCGCCTCGTGGTCGACATACGAACAACAACCACCCTGTATTCGGTTATAATTGAGAGGTGTCTGCGGTTAACCACAACGTTCTAATTGGGATCAAGAGGTTAACCAGCAGCACACTTCTCTTCTGGGTGGCCGTCCGTTCGGTAAGTTCATTCGGTAAAAACGTCAAATAAACGAACAGGGGCATACGGACAGGTAATTCCACGAAAAGAGGCAAAACAGACGAACCAGCAATCTTAGTCTATACAGATGGATCTTTCACAGTATCTAATAAATGTTATGTTTTATAGACATTACCTACATTTGTTTTTAGGATAGTTAACGTTCTCTTCTCTCTTTATTGCATTCGTTGTGTTGAGCTATTTCAATTGCTTTTGTTTGCTTTGTTCATTGCATACAGCTGAAAGTCTGTAAATTTTGACAGTACACCTGATTTTCAATGGCGGTTGAATAATTTTGATTTCAACTGTAAGTATTTATATGATACAATGTTAAATTCTCCCTTCAGAGGTTCTTTCATACTACAGAACATACTGCACAAATGTACCTGCCCAGTGCCACTCTGTCTGGGGACTTAATCACATTATTCCCAGCTAACTCAAGTGGTTCCCTGCTGTTCCGGCTATTCTCAGATCCGAGGACAAGTTCCAGGCAAACTTATCCAAGGAACAGTTCCAGGGTGTTTCAGGGTACCTCGAAGTGTGAAAATAGTTCTGGAAATCCACAGAGCTCCTCAAGTGCGGAAGCACAATAAGCATCCAGGGCACCCCACAGTGACAGCAGCCCCTTTTAGGAGGCTGACCTTCAAGCCACTCCAAAATGATGTGGCACAGGAAATTGTTACAGTCTCAAGTTGACCTCTGTCTATGAGGGCCATGAAATTAAATTTTTGGATCTCAAGATGATCAGTGACCCAAACTCCACGTGAAAAATATGGACATAAACAGTTTCCACAATGGGGAAAGTTACCACCCTGTACCCCTTAAGAGGGGTATTACCTATGGGCAATACTTATGAGCTAGGTGCAATTGTACAACAGATATTAATTTTAAAACTGAAGCTAACTTAGACAGTACTTTCAAATCAAAGGATAACTTAATAAATTGCTAAAAAGTACGTAGAATCGTCCATGTCAGTACTATCCAGATAATACCAGCCAAAAAACATTCAAGAATGATGAAGTGATCCACTGTATCGCCACATAAAGGATGACACCACCTTTTGCCTATTGTTCAGAATTACTGGCCCATGCTCACTACAGTGATATAACCAAGGACAACAGTCACAACAAGACTGACAGAAAACCTTGTGGATATTTTAGTCCACAGCCATCTATCGAGTCAATGCATCACCAAGCCCTTGCTCACACAACCACGGGTCATCTTTAGATATGTAAGGTGCAAAGTGTGCCCTTTCTAAAAATATTTAAAAGAAGCTGTTAGTTCTGTCTGAAGTAAATCAATATTATTAAGGGCTTTGCTAACTGCTCCTCGACATAATTTATTTGATCACACATGAAACAAATAGTATATCGGTAAACAGTCAACAGTTCCGAAGAATTCTACAACATGTCTATTCTGTGCATTTGAGACAAGACACTTCTGTCACAACATATCCATCAGTTTCATTGTAACCAGGCCTCACATCTCAGCTTCCAGGCTGTCGAAAAGATCTCTCTAAGCCATGCAGAGGAAATCCAAGTCACAGACTGCTCCAACATGAGTCCTGCTTGATTTTTAAATTGAAAACCCAGATAGGTTGCATGATGATTTTGAACACTTGCAGTTTATTAAATAGTCAGCCTTTATGTATCTTCTGGAAGAGTCCTACATGTAGCATTTTTTAAACCCATTATGTTAACCATGTTGTCTTGGAACACAAATTTTCTTTCAAATATTTGTAATTACAGACTTTATACATTATATTTTTTTCTAGTTATTATTATCATTTTTACTAATTTTTTATTTTGGCTTTTTTTTTTTGTCTACATCAACAGGGAGTGCTATAGCTGTTCTAATATGAATTGTCTTCCCCACTAGGGGGAACCACGACTATGAGTTCTTATGGAGTACTACATTCTCTTGTAACTTATAATGTTCAATTCCATAGACCAGTGGTTCACAAACTTTTTAGGTTCAAGGTGCCTTTATTATTTTAATATTTTTCCAAGGTGCCCCAAGTCAAAACAAATTTTTAGGTTGCGTATCTGTACAGCGCATCAGCATATACTGGAGCTATAGTGAAATGTATAGTGTTGGTGTTTAAAGGGGTGCTTGTATACAGGGAGTGCAGAATTATTAGGCAAATTAGTATTTTGACCACATCATCCTCTTTATGCATGTTGTCTTACTCCAAGCTGTATAGGCTCGAAAGCCTACTACCAATTAAGCATATTGGGTGATGTGCATCTCTGTAATGAGAAGGGGTGTGGTCTAATGACATCAACACCCTATATCAGGTGTGCATAATTATTAGGCAACTTCCTTTCCTTTGGCAAAATGGGTCAAAGAAGGACTTGACAGGCTCAGAAAAGTCAAAAATAGTGAGATATCTTGCAGAGGGATGCAGCACTCTTAAAATTGCAAAGCTTCTGAAGCGTGATCATAGAACAATCAAGCGTTTCATTCAAAATAGTCAACAGAGTCGCAAGAAGCGTGTGGAAAAACCAAGGCGCAAAATAACTGCCCATGAACTGAGAAAAGTCAAGCGTGCAGCTGCCACGATGCCACTTGCCACCAGTTTGGCCATATTCAGAGCTGCAACATCACTGGAGTGCCCAAAAGCACAAGGTGTGCAATACTCAGAGACATGGCCAAGGTAAGAAAGGCTGAAAGACGACCACCACTGAACAAGACACACAAGCTGAAACGTCAAGACTGGGCCAAGAAATATCTCAAGACTGATTTTTCTAAGGTTTATGGACTGATGAAATGAGAGTGAGTCTTGATGGGCCAGATGGATGGGCCCGTGGCTGGATTGGTAAAGGGCAGAGAGCTCCAGTCCGACTCAGGCGCCAGCAAGGTGGAGGTGGAGTACTGGTTTGGGCTGGTATCATCAAAGATGAGCTTGTGGGGCCTTTTCGGGTTGAGGATGGAGTCAAGCTCAACTCCCAGTCCTACTGCCAGTTCCTGGAAGACACCTTCTTCAAGCATTGGTACAGGAAGAAGTCTGCATCCTTCAAGAAAAACATGATTTTCATGCAGGACAATGCTCCATCACACGCGTCCAAGTACTCCACAGCGTGGCTGGCAAGAAAGGGTATAAAGAAGAAAATCTAATGACATGGCCTCCTTGTTCACCTGATCTGAACCCCATTGAGAACCTGTGGTCCATCATCAAATGTGAGATTTACAAGGAGGGAAAACAGTACGCCTCTCTGAACAGTGTCTGGGAGGCTGTGGTTGCTGCTGCATGCAATGTTGATGGTGAACAGATCAAAACACTGACAGAATCCATGGATGGCAGGCTTTTGAGTGTCCTTGCAAAGAAAGGTGGCTATATTGGTCACTGATTTGTTTTTGTTTTGTTTTGAATGTCAGAAATGTATATTTGTGAATGTTGAGATGTTATATTGGTTTCACTGGTAATAATAAATAATTGAAATGGGTATATATTTGTTTTTTGTTAAGTTGCCTATAATTATGCACAGTAATAGTCACCTGCACACACAGATATCCCCCTAACATAGCTAAAACTAAAAACAAACTAAAAACTACTTCCAAAAATATTCAGCTTTGATATTAATGAGTTTTTGGGTTCATTGAGAACATGGTTGTTGTTCAATAATAAAATTAATCCTCAAAAATACAACTTGCCTAATAATTCTGCACTCCCTGTATAATTTTAGTGTTTTAATACAGGGGTGTGTTTGAATGTAATGTTCACTTTTAAATGCGGATGTACATTTGTTTAAAGTATTTGTGTTTGAGTGAAGGGGTGTGTACAGTATTTTGGAGTTTGACTGCATGGGTTTGTTTGTATGTAATATTCAGGTAAGATTGCAGGAGTGTGTTTATATGTTGTGCTGGTGTTTGACTGCATGGATATATGCACATAAACTGCCACATACATAAATTCCTACACAGATATACATGCACATTAAAACACAGATACATATAAATACACCAACGCATACACACAAATTCATATAGACACCGACACATACACAAACCGACATATATACACACACACAGATGCACACTGACAAATACACACACACACGTACACACAGACACACACACTGACACAGATACACACAGAAGCACACTAACATGAAAACACACACCCTGACACAATGATGCACACCCTGACACACATATGCACATACACATACACAGATGTGCATGCGCACACACACACACATATATACACACAGAGATGCACACTCACATATATACACACACACACTGATAAACACTGACATATTTACACACACAGATGCCCACTGACATTTACACACACACACACACAGATGCACACTGACATATATAAATAGACACACACACAGACACACACTGACATATATACACAGACACACAGATGCACACCAACATATATACACACACACACAGAAGCACACTGACATATTTACTCACACAGATGCACACCCTGACACACACACTCACACAATCTGGCATACACATACAAGTAATTTTTATTTTTTTATATCTCCAGCCACCCTCCAGTTAGCTTACCTTGTGTGTCCAGGAGGGTGACCTGGTGTCCTGCTCCTGGTCTTGCTGCTGGCTGGTGGGAGTGCGGGGTCTGGAGCAGCTCTTCATGCTCCCCTCCCCTCATGCTGCGCTTAACTCCTATCCCTTCCGCGCTGTCTCCCTGCAGGAAACTGGGAGGAAGTGACAGGCTGTCACTTCCTCACAGCCTGCTGACATTATAGAGGCCCTGTCTCGGTCTTGAAAGGCCACAGCACCTGACCGAGATGCTGTTCAGTAGTAATGTTTCCTGGTGTTATAATCATTGCACCGGAGAGACGTTTTGCGGCGCCCCTGTGTGCCCGTCACAGTTTAGAAACTGCTGCAATAGACCATCTCTGGGTGAGCTCTCTCATGGTTTCCTGTGGAGTATTTGCAACTCACTTAATACATATAGGATTAATCCATTAGCCACTGTCTTGCATCATTTGAAGATCGGATTTATGCTATGGCCTGGGGACACTATACCTTGCTACCTACTTTTGACTTGTTCGGGTCATTAAATTGTGACCACTGGTTTCTAATTTGGTCTCACTGCAATCTTTTCCCTTTGCAACTGTTGCTACAACAGTTCCACTATTATTTAGCAAGGTCTCACCTTAGTTACTGTTAGAAAATAAAGACAACAAACTGCCTCAGAGACTCTCCACTGTCTAGGTGCTTATTGTTGAATTGCTCCAATCACAGATCTGAGTGAGAGGTTTAAATGCCCTTGCTCTCGGCAGATTTTGAGCACCTCTGACGAGGTTTGTCACTCCACAAAGCAAAACACATGCTGAGTGCCCGCATTCCCACCTGCCTTTCATTGTTCTGCCTTTTCTGTCTTTCCAAGGTGCAAGCAGCCGACATGTAAATAGGACAAGCTTTTGCTTTGGTCGAAAATAGGGGTTGACAGGGAATGGCTGTCTCATACTTTTAGAGTTATTTACTAAAGTTAGAGCCGGAATAACAAAATGGCTGCCCCAGAAAATGTTGAGCAAGTTCATCATTAGATGCATTTGAAGCTCAGGGTGCTGTCTGCATAGTACACCCTTAAATTCCAGCCTGCATGGTTGACAGGCAGCCTGCCATGCATTTATGCCAGGCTGACCTGCCAATTCTTCAGGCAGACATGTCCTCTTTCTGGGCATGTCTTTGCAGTGGCAGTTATGTGACTCGCATCATGGCCCACTCTTTTACCCCACCACAAAAATGTCCTGCTTCACTGAAAGGTGCTGTTAGGGGGTATGGATTTGCTTAAGAGATGAAAGTAAGAGATTTACATAAGGCAGGCATAGGCAACCTTCAGCACTCCAGATGTTTTGGACTACACCTCCCACAATGCGTTGCCAGCATTATGGGTGTAAGAGCATTATGGAGGATGTAGTCCAAAACATCTGGAGTGCCGAGGGTTGCCTATGCCTGACATGGGGTATGTGTATTCTTATAGCAATAGAAGAGGAATGTTGTACCAATACAATTATAATAAAAGATATTCCCAAAGGTACTGAAGAATAAAAACCAATAATAACAATCAATATTAAAAAAGCCAAAAAATGACCAATAAAATGTCCAAATAAATGTGCAAACTTGCAAGGAGAACAGCTAACTGTAGTAGTGAGGTCTCTTCGTTATGGAGGTACCAGATCAGGAAATGCTTGAGATACGTATCTATATATATATATATATATAAAAAACAGAGGAAACCCAATAGTGTAGTATGTCACGACAATATGGAAGCATTTGGCTTTAGTAAATCTGCACATTGCAAATTTGGTAGGAATTTGGTTATTTTTTTCTATTCTGACAAAATCATATGTTTAGTATATAACCCTGTTTTTTTTCATTGCTTTAGGCTATTTTATGACAGTATCTAGTGAGCTTGCAAAAAAAGTGTAATTCAATAGGCAGGTGTAGACTGTGCTGTTAGTCTGTAAACTCTGGACTCTGGACTTCTCAGGGTGTTAGGCCACCCCCTAGTGGACAACCAGCTAATATATTTTACAGATATTAGGACTATAATACAAGTATATTAGGAGGTAGTGCTAGTTATTTATTTATCTCTCACTTTTTGATGTTTGAGCTTGGAGTGCACGTGCCTTATTGTTTCTCCAAGAGATTGAATTTATTTGGGTTCCCCAGAATTAAATTAATTAAAGGATGATTTATCCATAAGAAATTTGGTGCCACAAGTCCCGGGAATGAAGGTTCACTTATCCGGAACTGGAGAATCTGTGTCTCTCTGACTGTGAACGAGTGCTGCAGCAAGGTTAGAAAAAGTGTTTATTTTTCTACCTATTACCTTCACTCTCAGAGCAGTGCTTATTCTGTGTCCGGGTAAGTTTTGGACTTAAAAATTGTCGTTTCCCAAGAACAAATTTAAACGGACATACTATGTTCTGGTGGAATGTCTTGTGGAAGTAGTTTACTAAAGAATACATATGTGGGGTCCAAGTTATTCTTATTATCTGCATAGTTGTTTATTTCCTGATCAGAATAAGAATTCCCCAGTACAGGTACACCGACCTGTGTTTAAATTGAAGACAGGTTCTGTAATTAAATTCCACTAGTGGTCCTAAGTGTTTTAAACTGATTAAGTACGTTCTTGACTTAAAGTGAGCAGCTGCATTTAAGTATTTTTGATGGGAAATTCACGGAGTACTCAAGAGGAATATACTGCCCTAACCATAGTGAAACAACATAAGGGCAAAGAGGCAGTTAAAGATGTAAAGAAGCTTCTTAAGAAAGCTAGGATGCCTTCTGAAGGCTTCCTGGACCCACAGATTTGGAAAGAATTTATGGCCAATTTTTAATGGATAATCATTTAGTTGAAGTCGCCCAGAAATGGCTTGATACTGCAGTAGATTTGACTAAATGTGGTTGTAGAGAAACCACAAGGAATGGGGTACCCTACTACTAATGTTTTGGTGCCTTAGGATCCAGCTCTACAGCTATAGCCCCTAGTACCTCATACAACCCACCTCCTTACCCAGGTAAGGATGAGGGTGACCCTAAATCTTCTCTCAAACAGACTCCTCAAGTCCCTTTCTCTACTACTAATCCAGTTACTTAGAAATCTTACTGGGTTTGTCCCAGATGTGAATGTGCTAACCCTTGGTGGGACTCACTGATATTGTACAAGGTAAAGTGGAAAACATTTTTTTGCCAGCCTTCAGATAGGCTGGTAGTTGTTAGAATACTACGAATCAGACCCCCTATCTTTCAGACACCTAGTTAACTGTTTTATGGATGGTCTATATCCTCCCTTACACACTGCCCTTCAGGCAGCATGTCCTGGATGGAGAGGACTCAATTACTTTGATTTAGTTAAAGTAGTCATGGGGGTAGAGGCTAATTCTAAAACACGAAAAGCAAGAGGAGGTTTGCCTCTGTATCCAAACTAGTTGGACTAGAGACTACGGTCAGTATGGTGGTATCAGCTCCACCTATGGGCTTGGACCCTATGAATATAATAGAATTGACACAAAGGAAGAGTAGCTCCAAACAAGGGGGCGACTCCAAAGCTGATATATGTGCATAAATAGAAGAAACTAATACTAAACAGCTAATTAGCTTCCTTCCAAGTTTTTAAAGTATTGGAGATCTAATGCCCCACAGCTAGAAACTGTTACCATATGTATCCAAAAATTACCAATAACTTTATTTCATCCTTAAACAGTGGTACAAATGGTTTTATCGCTGGGTGGCAAGAAAATACGCCTTCTGAAGTAGCCCAGTCAGAGTCCTGACCTCAACCCAATTGAGATGCTGTGGCATGACCTCAAGAAAGCGATTCACACCAGACATCCCAAGAATATTGCTGAACTGAAACAGTTCTGTAAAGAGGAATGGTCAAGAATTACTCCTGCCCGTTGTGCATGTCTGATCTGCAACTACAGGAAATGTTTGGTTGAAGTTATTGCTGCCAAAGGAGGTTCAACCAGTTATTAAATCCAAGGGTTCACATACTTTTTCCACCTGCACTGTGAATGTTTACATGGTGTGTTCAATAAAAACATGGCAACATTTCATTCTTTGTGTGTTATTAGTTTAAGCAGACTGTGATTGTCTATTGTTGTGACTTAGATGATGATCAGATCACATTTTATGACCAATTTGTGCAGAAATCCATATCATTCCAAAGGGTTCACATACTTTTTCTTGCAACTGTATGTATGCTGCAGGGAGTGGCTCTTAGGAGTCCAGTAGCAGTAGGTTCCCGGCACCTATTCCTCTCCTCTGTGGTTTCCAGTATGTTGGGCACTGATGTCACACCAGCCAACCCTGAGGCAGAGTTAAGTAGTGAAGTGGAGCAGTGACCCACTGTAAAGGATATCTTCAATGAAGACTAGGTGGGGAGATATTTTTGCAGTCCCATTGCTTGAGTCGGTTCCTTTCTGGAACAATACTTGTATCCCCTGATGGCGGCCATGCAGATAACCATGTACTTAACTTGTTATAGACAAGAAATAGCAGTTGCCTCAGATTACTGTGTATATGGTAACATGGCAAAACATTTAATGGAAGACCTCTCATGTTAACAGAGAACAGGCCTCAGCTTTGTCTATTTTCACAATAGATAATAATCACCATATGATGTGTTATAGACTCATACAGTGGGCAGACTCAGATCTTTTTATAGGGGGCCTCTTTCACAGAAAGTAGAATTGTATATTGTCCAGACTTACTTGGTAAATGCATGCCAAATTCCATACCAAGTTCCAATCACATTCTGGACATAAGTTGTACACAGTTTGTAACGGATCACCTGGCACCCGACTGGGTACCTCCGTTAAAGGATGCTCCTAGCGCTTCCTGAGGACTCCAAGCACTGCAGCAGACACCACAACCACTGAACCGGAGAAGCATATGAATCTTCCCAAGCATATGAATGCTGTAGACAGTTGAGTAGGAACCATACAAATAGGTTTACTCTCCTAGCAGTCAAACTGGAACAGCATACAATGAATCCTTCCCCCAATAATGAGACGACACTTCACTTTGAGGGTTAAAACAGGAACTCCCTGTACTGTCACATACAGTCTCTTTTATTCCCAATCCACAAACATAGTACAGCCCACAGGGCGTTACAAAACAGCCAATCAATCCATACAATACACCCAGACACTCCCACACAAAATCCTCCCCTCTGGCTGTGATATGATTACTGAACACAATGGGTAATCTAATTATCACAGCCAGAGAAATACAGTTTCATAAAACACATCACAGGGACCCCAAAACATGCAATAACCCAATAAAAAGTATATCCTTGGAACTGGGGGATCTGGGTGAACCACATATCCAAAATTCACCCAGATCCGTTCAGTACTTTGGAAAGATTCTGCAGAACATATACAGACTAAATAAAAAACAGTCACTGTATAATGTGTCCCCTGCTGTATAGTCCAAAACCACCGCACGATGTCTCTGTGCAACAAATACTGGCGAGATGGCACCGTGTTGAAAAGTCCACACAGTGTCTGTGAGTTAAAATGGCCGCCATCCATTGTTCTCACCATGTGCTTCTGATACAGGAAATGGTGGCCACCCAGTAACTCCACAGTATGTCCCCAGATGGTTCTTAAAAGGGCCAGCAGCAGCACAACACAAATCCATTATGCCCAAATCATGTCTTTAAAGGGCAATACATCCCAGGGGCCATAGTCACATGGCAGGAGGCTGGCAACCAGGCTTCTCCAGTGCATAGTGGCGAGGTTGGTTCCGCCACACAGTTGTAGACTTTAATTAGTACCTGGTAAATGTAGGTACTATTGATGTTTGGTACCAGGAGTATTGGCCTCTCCTCTGTTCTCTGCAGCTTTTCCATGAAATATATCCTGCTCTGATACTGGATGTACAAGACTTATCTAGATATTTACCAATAAGCTCATACATTTCTTATCAAAGAGGAAGTAAAAAGACAGCTGGAAAAACAGAAATATCCATCCTTAAATACTGTGCCCTCCACTAATATTGGCAGCCGTGGCAAATATGAGCAAAGTAGGATGGAAAATTGTCTTTATTGTTTAAAGGGATATTACAGGGAGTGCAGAATTATTAGGCAAGTTGTATTTTTGAGGATTAATTTTATTATTGAACAACAACCATGTTCTCAATGAACCCAAAAAACTCATTAATATCAAAGTTGAATATTTTTGGAAGTAGTTTTTAGTTTGTTTTTAGTTTTAGCTATGTTAGGGGGATATCTGTGTGTGTAGGTGACTATTACTGTGCATAATTATTAGGCAACTTAACAAAAAACAAATATATACCCATTTTAATTATTTATTATTACCAGTGAAACCAATATAACATCTCAACATTCACAAATATACATTTCTGACATTCAAAACAAAACAAAAACAAATCAGTGACCAATATAGCCACCTTTCTTTGCAAGGACACTCAAAAGCCTGCCATCCATGGATTCTGTCAGTGTTTTGATCTGTTCACCATCAACATTGCGTGCAGCAGCAACCACAGCCTCCCAGACACTGTTCAGAGAGGTGTACTGTTTTCCCTCCTTGTAAATCTCACATTTGATGATGGACCACAGGTTTCAATGGGGTTCAGATCAGGTGAACAAGGAGGCCATGTCATTAGATTTTCTTCTTTTATACCCTTTCTTGCCAGCCACGCTGTGGAGTACTTGGACGCGTGTGATGGAGCATTGTCCTGCATGAAAATCATGTTTTTCTTGAAGGATGCAGACTTCTTCCTGTACCACTGCTTGAAGAAGGTGTCTTCCAGGAACTGGCAGTAGGACTGGGAGTTGAGCTTGACTCCATCCTCAACCCGAAAAGGCCCCACAAGCTCATCTTTGATGATACCAGCCCAAAACCAGTACTCCACCTCCACCTTGCTGGCGTCTGAGTCGGACTGGAGCTCTCTGCCCTTTACCAATCCAGCCACGGGCCCATCCATCTGGCCCATCAAGACTCACTCTCATTTCATCAGTCCATAAAACCCTAGAAAAATCAGTCTTGAGATATTTCTTGGCCCAGTCTTGACGCTTCAGCTTGTGTGTCTTGTTCAGTGGTGGTCGTCTTTCAGCCTTTCTTACCTTGGCCATGTCTCTGAGTATTGCACACCTTGTGCTTTTGGGCACTCCAGTGATGTTGCAGCTCTGAAATATGGCCAAACTGGTGGCAAGTGGCATCGTGGCAGCTGCACGCTTGACTTTTCTCAGTTCATGGGCAGTTATTTTGCGCCTTGGTTTTTCCACACGCTTCTTGCGACCCTGTTGACTATTTTGAATGAAACGCTTGATTGTTCGATGATCACGCTTCAGAAGCTTTGCAATTTTAAGAGTGCTGCATCCCTCTGCAAGATATCTCACTATTTTTGACTTTTCTGAGCCTGTCAAGTCCTTCTTTTGACCCATTTTGCCAAAGGAAAGGAAGTTGCCTAATAATTATGCACACCTGATATAGGGTGTTGATGTCATTAGACCACACCCCTTCTCATTACAGAGATGCACATCACCTAATATGCTTAATTGGTAGTAGGCTTTCGAGCCTATACAGCTTGGAGTAAGACAACATGCATAAAGAGGATGATGTGGTCAAAATACTCATTTGCCTAATAATTCTGCACTCCCTGTATAGTCACCAAAACAACATTAGCTTATTGAAGCAGTTTTGGTGTTTACATCATGCACCTGTAGTCTCACTGCTCAATTCTCAGCCATTTTGGAGTAAAATCACAGCCCTAGTCACACTTCCTGTAAAGAATCATCTAATATTTACACTTCCTTTATTGCAAATTCTGTTTAATTTAGAATTCCTCATCTCCTGCTCTGTTACTAGCTTGCTGGACCCTGCAGGAGCCTCCTGCATGTGATTCAAATTTAATTTACAGAACAAAGAAACATCTGATTGAAAATGAAACAATTTTGTTTTTGTGCGGCTAGGGCTGCATGGACAGCAACAAAACTGATTTAGCTCCTAAATAGCAGTGTATTGAGCAGCTAGACTTCAGATGTTTATCTATGCACAAAAGCTGCTTCATTAAGGTAAAGTTGCTATGGTGACAATATTGTCCCTTTAACTATTTGTATAAAAATAAAATATATACAGAAATACTCTGCTCTCATGGATATCAAACAACTGTAAACACAACAACTGTAAACACAACCGGTTTAACAAATATGTATGTGTGGCACAATTATTGGAACCTTTCTAATCAATACTTTGTGCTACCTCCCTTTGCCAAGACAACAGCTCTGAGTCAGGGCCAGATTAAGAGCCCAGTGGGCCTGGTGCTGACAAATATGATGGGGCCTTATTACAGAATCTTTTCGACCCAAAACACTAAAACAGTCATACCTCTCAAGCGTCATGTATCTGATGGAGATGGTGTTGGAGGGAAACTCAAACGATCTTTCAAGTAAATCCATACACCCTAACAGCAGTGTCCAGTGAAGCAGGAAGTCAATGGGTGGGGTAAAAGGGTGGGCCACTGACGCGAATCACGTGATCAGAACTGACAAATGGGGCAAACATGCCCAAAAAGGGGACATGTCTGTCTAAAGAATTGGAAGGCCAGCCTGGCATCAGTGTCCCTATGTATCACAGTGTCAGTGTCCCCATGTCGCCCAGTCCCCTAGTCTCCCAGTGTCTCAGTGTCCCCATTTCTCCCAGTGTCCCCATGTCCCAGTGTGTCCCATGTCACTAGATACTAGGGGACACTGAGAGACATGGGGACACAGTGAGACATGGGGACACTGAGACATGGGGACACAG